TAATCTGCTGTGACAACATTGTCCGCAAGTTGCTTCAACAACAAACAAACAACGCCTTTATTTTATCTCCAGAAGCGAATGACCAGCCAGTGCACACACATGCAAAATATAAACATGTACGACAACCTATATGGCAACTGTGAGAGTGTGTGTGAGTGATGTAGTTTTTGAAACAGCTATTATCAGATATGAATCACTGCTATTCCTTATTGAACCAAACAAACAGATATCAAATTGAGCAAGCACTGAACAGTGTCATCTCTTGTATATCCATGCTGGAACATAGATTATTTTCAAGTTGAGTGCCCTCACTCTCTTCCCTGGATTTGACCTTTGACCACAATTTCTGAACAAGGCTAGCATTGTTGTTATGTTGGCAGGCCGATATAGAACTTTTAAAAGGTAAGCAATATTTTAGATTTTACTTTATTCTTAAACTAATACATTTAGGTAGATTTTGTAACAGATATTTGTATTTTTTTTCTCAGAGAAAAATAAAAATAAAATATTGGGTTTCACGGTCAAGTAGTACAACATATTCATTATTATAAACCAGCACTGAAAACAATAAAAATTACTGCTCTTCAAAAGGTTGCATCATTTGTTCCAACACTCAGAACTACAAATCGGTCAATGAAAATTGTTGTACTGCCTTTGCACATACTTTGCTGTAACCTCACTAATACTTACTTGACATACTGATAACAGAATGATTGTCTTTGACGGCAGCTGCCGCTGTCACCAATGTCTGTATATTACTAGCTGATGTAGTTGTTGTGGTTTCAGTGGCAGTATTTTCAGATATTGTTGAATGAGATGTTCCATTAACAAGACTAAACTGTAAACAACAATATGTTGATGTGAGTAAGCATGTACAAATGTAATCCCAACATGACCAAATACATTTATAATGTGTCAATGTTTTCAATACTTTTGAAATCATCTGCATTTTATTATGTTATTTTCATACAAAGATCTTTAACATACATGTATGCTACATAGTGTAATGTAACCTTTTCACCGCCACTTCCCTGTTTTCATCACAAATTCACAAAATAGTCCTGCACTTCTGTCAGAAGGTTGGGACAAAAATTGCCAAATTCTTTGAGTAAAAACTAAATATTTATCTAAATTTTGTCTGTTGGCTCCAAAATTAGGGTTTATTTCAGGAAACATTCAAAAATACATGCATAGAAAAAGTGTGTACAACATGGAAAAGAAAAGGTTAAATAATAATTTATTTGCATGATTTATAATTTATTAGCTTCTAAAGTCTTAACCTGTCCTAGAATTGTGATTTCATGACTTCACAATCATTTCATAGTGAAACACAGATTTGCCATATTTGTTGAGCACAAAAAAACCTACTATTGACCGTTTAGATCTGACAAGTCAGAATAGTTCATTAAATAGTATATTTCATAGTACAGTGTTAGCTTTATCCAATTCTCAAATTGGTGATTGTATAAGTGCAGTAGTCCAAAATGTAGTTGATTTAGCCAAAAAATTTTATTAATGGAAATATTTTTTTCAGAGTCATTGGTAGTATCTAGAGATAATTGGAAATTTAAACACAACTAATATGAATAGATAAAATAAATACCTGTGCATTTTGTAGTAATAGTATCATTTCATGATTGTCTTTATCTATGGCTATTTCTAAAGCTGTCTTGTCAAACTGAAACAGGAGAAAACAAATTTCATTGTTAAGTTCACTGACAATATCAGGATGATTTATTTAAAAAGAACATTCAACCTTTTGTGCATTTTCCTGTCGAGACCAAGGGGTTCATATCACAGAAGGGATGATTTAGTAAAATTAAACCCAGTGAAAATAACTTTTTCCTGTATATACAACTAATCAAAAATTAGAGAAAATAAACTCTCCAGCTAAAATAAAGTGTTTTACAGTATTTGGATATGGATGTCATGCATGTTCAGTCACCAAAGTTTCAGTCCTGTGTGGTATGGATTTGGGCGTTGTGTGTGTTCAGTTACCATATACCAATCCTCAGTGCGGCATGGATTATTGACAATTTGTCAAAATTCAATTCATAATCCTCACACCCTTGTCTGGTCAATTCGCAGTCAAGAGTTTCCTAACTGTCCCCCAAAATGATGTCAATTTGGGAATATATCACGGATTGGTGAAATAAGCATTCTACATAGGGGAAAGATGTCAGTACATACTATGCGCAAGCACTCAAACAATAAACATGCAAATGCTTTTAATTCAGAAATCAGAAATTGAAAGCCAGGCTATGAATATCAGAATCGGTTTGCACATGCAAACCAAAAGTATAGTATGAATGAGAGGTAGGATAAGTCTTCAAACATACTTACCTTATTTAAATATCCTATATCTGCACCATTTCTTATCAACAAATCAATTACATCAAGGTGTTCTCTTTCAACTGCCCAATGAAGTGGTGTCATTTTAAGCTGTCAATAGAAACAACACTATTACTGGTAGGTTCAAATAACAAAATACTGGAATCAGCATCCAGTCATAAATATACATTCATATGTGTTTATGTTGTGTGTGCTTGCACTCTGAACATAATCTGAAACAAGAATTTCATGAATTACTATAACTCACATTAAAGCTGTTTTATTAATAGAACCATAGTAATCCCATGATGCATCACTTGCCCTGAAACACAAAGAATGACATCACTTGCCCTGAAACACAAAGAATGACATCACTTGCCCTGAAACACAAAGAATGACATCACTTGCCCTGAAACACAAAGAATGACATCACTTGCCCTGAAACACAAAGAATGACATCACTTGCCCTGAAACACAAAGAATGACATCACTTGCCCTGAAACACAAAGAATGACATCACTTGCCCTGTAACACAAAGAATGACATCACTTGCCCTGTAACACAAAGAATGACATCACTTGCCCTGAAACACAAAGAATGACATCACTTGCCCTGAAACACAAAGAATGACATCACTTGCCCTGTAACACAAAGAATGACATCACTTACCCTGAAACACAAAGAATGACATCACTTGCCCTGTAACACAAAGAATGACATCACTTGCCCTGAAACACAAAGAATGACATCACTTGCCCTGTAACACAAAGAATGACATCACTTGCCCTGTAACACAAAGAATGACATCACTTACCCTGTAACACAAAGAATGACATCACTTGCCCTGAAACACAAAGAATGACATCACTTGCCCTGTAACACACAGATTTATGTAACTACTTACCCTGGATGTGTTATTGCATGCAGATATGAAAAAAAAATGACATCAAAATACTTTGTTATGAAACATTCTTTTGTTTCCCAGATCAAGTAGCCAGGGGTTTTTCTAGAAAAAAAACTGCAAGAGGGAGCACTGCAATTTAGCAGCGCCACCAAGTGGGGGAGATAGGGTTCTCCCGACCAGGATGTGGAGTTTTTGATAATTTTAAGTTAAAATGGATCATTTTATGGCTTCCTTGGGGCCAAAATTACTATCAGACAGATCACAGTTGAAGACTGCGGCCACATGTGATTCCTGGTCAATCAGAATTTTACGGTTGCCAGACTGCTCCCTCGGGTAAGAGGGCGCATGACCATCGCATGAGGGTGCTGCACCCCTGTTCCCTTGTTTAAAAAAATCCCTGAAATAGCTAATTGCTTCATTGTTCATAGTGTGACATGCACCATAAAATTATCATTTCAGTTAGTCTAACCTGTTCATAATGGATACAGGATCTTGTGTCAACACTACAATATTTCCTAACCACCATGAGCACAGCTTCAATCTCACCGAGATGTGGAATGTGACAACCACAACCTTTAATATTATGGAATGAAATGAAAACTTACCATATCTTTTGAATTAATATCAGCACTATGTTTTAATAATAATTCTACAATCTGTGCATGACCTTCTTGTGCTGCCATGTGTAGTGGTGTTCTATCTACTTTAGTTCTTGCATCACGACTAACTCCTGCCCGAAGTAACACTTCAGCAGTCGTCACATGACCCATTTGAGCTGCCATGTGAAGAGGGGATGTACCCAGCTGTAAAAAATAAGTAAATGAATGATAATTTTTGTCCTTGGCTGCTAACTTGTCACTTATGCAGATACTCTGACAGTTTGCCTGCAACTCTGACAGGTTAAATAACCACAACTCTGAAGATGTACATTTACAATTTCCAATTTAATTAAGAGACGACGTCAAAAGATGGATGTTGGATAAAAAACTTATTTGCTTTAGTTTTGGGGGAGGGTGACCTCAGAAGTTTCCATCCTACAAAAACGATTTTATTTTTTAATGTAGTCAAACAAATCTTGGAGTATTTGTAGTTTTTTTTTTTTTCTATCCAATCATGGACAAAAATTACAGAAAATGAAAAATAACACATCCAAGACGAGAAAATGGTTTGGTCCGAGTGTAAATATGTACTACAAATGAGGTCAATTTCAGGGAATGGACCTAGAACCAACTGCAATGCAATACTACTGTCCGATTATAAATTTGTATTTAATGGTGAACGTAGTCCTACACTATGATCCATATATCAATTACGTTCGGGGGGGGGGGGGTAAAAAACTAAAGGAATTAAGTTTTTTATCCTACATTGAACTTTTGATGTTGTCCCTAGCACATTAGACAAAACAAGAACAAAACATCCCTGACACTTTCCAGCTGAATGAAAGTAAATATGAAGCTTGGTTTGTGATGCATTGAAAGCAAATAAACATGAGACCACTAGGATAGAATTATCGACAATACAAGAAAAGTCAAGATTCACCAAGCAGGAATGATTGAAAGCCATTGTGAAATAAAGAAATAATTCAGTATCAATAAATCTATCATCACTTTTAAATTAGTTTTGAAGTAAGATACCCACTAACCCAAGAGAGAGTGGAGATAGATTACAACCTAAACTCTTATCCATTATTAACGTGTACGGACAACTAAACACAACGAAAGAACTGTATTTGTAAATCAAAACCAGAGACACATTTTCATAATCGACTGTACATCACCTTTGCCCCCCTCACTATTTGCACAATTTTTATATTCAGGCTTACACGTCAGACTTACAGGTTATGAAACCTTGCTGTCAAACATTGGGCTCTGCCGTTCTTTGTCAAAATCAAGGTCAATGGTTCTTATTACAAGTTACGATGTTTTAGGATATTAACATTTATCCTACTTGAAGTTTATCCTTAAACAATGGTTGACTGTCTGAGTGATCACTTTCCATTTTTGAAAACACTGCTTTAATTCTTATATTAGCCATTTTCGTCTTTTTTTTTTTTTCGAAAAACAAGACTTGTAAGCAAGTTTACATCCAAAGATGAACTTCTAACTTTTGCTTACATTAGAGCCTTGTACATGTACATGCAAGTCTTGAGAATTATTCACAAGTCAATATAGAAACAAGGAAAGAAACTTGTGCAAAATGGGACAATATAATAAGTGAACTGACCCAATCTGTTGTAAATGGTGCACCATTTGCCATCAATGTTCTCACTTCTTCATCTCTGCCATTCTTAGCAGCTTCCAGCAACCTCTTGCCAAGGTCAACTAAAGACATGATTATCTGAAACAAGAACAATGGACATTACTAGTAATTCAGTATTTCATTCCGGGTCTGTACAACCAGTAGGTTATGCAGTCTCCTTCTCCATAAACCATGGCTGTTTCGCACTCTCAACTGAATAATCCAAATTTTCCCAGCGATGTATTGCATATAATATAATAATCCTTATATGATCATGAGCTGGTGGGGTGAAATTTTAAAGCCT